GTCGATGTCATTGCCACATCCAGTTGCAGATAAACTACTGAGATTATGTCTTTTAGATCTTGGCATTTGTGTATTGTTGATGGAAGTTTAACAATTTCTTGAGGATTAGTCCCAATCTATTTATAAAAATAAATAAATAAAATAGTAAGTAAAATCAATTAAAGTACATAAACGTAAATATATTTCGTCAATTTAAAAGAACCATATAATAGAGAAAAAGTTTGAAGAAATATTACCTCCATCAAGAATTTTGCAAAATTAGCATTTTCAAGATTTGCATGATTCAAGCGCATGTTCAAATTTAAAGACAGAACATGTATATCCTTCCATAGAAAAGAGTGTCTTAATGATGCATTCACAATTTGCTCACGGATTCCTTTGGTTATAACTGGTAAGATTTGTCGAAAATCTCCACCAAGAACAACAGTGATACCCCCAAATGGCTTTTCACTATCACAAGTGTCCCGAAGTGTGTGATCAACTGCCTCAACACAATGTCTATGCTGCATAGGAACTTCATCCCAGATTATAAGTTTTGTTTCTCTAAACAATTCTGCTTGTAATGATTGTTTGCTAAATCCACAAATTGAATTTTCTAATACATCCAATGGAATGGAAAATTTTGAATGAGCAGTACGACCTCCTACCAATAACAATGATGCAATTCCAGATGAAGCCACAGTAATAACAATATGGCCAAGGCTGCGACACTTCAATGCAATCGCATTGTACAAAAACGTTTTCCCTGTTCCGGCACCTCCATTCAAAAAGAAAATAGTTCCTTTATTTTCAAAGACTGAGGAAGTGATTGCATCATAAGTTGTTCGTTGATCATTGTTGAGGCGATCAATAATAATTTCTACATCTGCTTGTTGTGTCTCATTATGCAGTTGTTGATGTTCGAATATCAACCTGTTACCAACTACCGCACTCCAATTTGTAGAAGGTTGTGGCATTGGCGGAAAGTCAATTAAACTTTTTCCTGATTCTTGGAGCATTTGATTCAAAAGATATAGACCATAGTCTTCAATTTGAGCCTCAGTTGGTTCAGAAATGGCAAACAATGTTCGAATCTTATGTGCAAGATCATCACATATATGCATTGAAAATTGATTCCATAACGCATATGGTTGCAGTGGAGAGCACTGAGTAAGAATAATAGTAAACAATCTCCTTAATTGATAACCAATTTTCATAACTGCAGCCTCTTTAAGGCATTGTATCCATTCTTCATCATCTTCTAAAAGTCCTCTTGCAACACATGCTGATTTAAACATATCATGCAAAACATTGTTGACCATGCGTAAACATTGAAACGATTTTGGTCCTTTGACAACAGTTAATAGCAAACGCAAATAAAATCTCTCACCACAATTACGGCTAGCAAAGTACATTCTACCGATTGCATAGCCCTGTTGCCTTGGTTTCCATCTCTTTTCTGAATTAAGCCAAACAAAATGTTGTGGAAATTCTTGGTAAGTGAATGGACATTCATCTTCCATAGAAGCACAATATGCAAAAAAACCAGTAAGAGTTGACATTTGTTGGCCAGCTCTAGAAACAATTGCTTCTAATGATTCATCAGGATTAAAAAGAACGCGGTGCATTCCAGGTAAATGAAGTGCTAAGCGTACAACTGTTGGTATCTCTGCACGCAATGGATAACCAAATATTCGCCAAGCAGCTTCTGGAGGTCCAATATACCTCGCATCGAGATATTGTTGGATCTCATTTATCAATCCCAACACCATCGTTGTACGATCATGACCCTTATAAATGTACTTGTGTATATACTTGACGCATCTCATTTCGGCACAAACTTCCACATTTATGTGACAGTTGAAACGTTTAGAAAGATATGCATTGTACGGTACGATGTCTCTGTTATCAACTTCTTTCCCCCTCACAATATAAGTTTGACCATTATTGCGACGACGATAGATAGGATATCCATTTTGATCCATAGTAGTTGTTTCTGCGAACGCTCGAGGGTATCTCTTAGTGCATTTACCATTTTCCATACATGGTGCTTGTGGATTTCGAGCACCACATGGTCCATGTACCATACAACACTTGATAGTTTCAAAAAGCATAGGTTCATCTTTTGGATCTGAAAATTCTGCACAAACCAATTTATCTACTTGAGCACATGTCCGAATTTTGTCTGGACCCTTAAGAAATAGAAGTGCATGCATATGAGGAAGGCCTCGCTTTTGGAATTCAATTGTAAAAACATGTGCAACTTTATTACCAAACACTCGGTTTGTTTCTATCTCCTTCATCAAACACTTTCTCTTCAACTCAAAAACACGGGCAATTAAATTAGGACAATCAATAGGTTTTTGGTGCGGTAATAATGTCGAAGTAATTTCTAGCCAATTAGGATTTGCAGTCATGGTGAGAAAAATGTCTGGATGTTGGTTGTATCGTGTGATAGCCATTGAATCTTGAAAGATTTCAAACATGTGTCTAGGATCTCCAGGAAATGAAGATGGCAAAACAAACCTTTGACCAATTTGATTGGGTCACAGGTCATTTGGATCAATATCTGTCAAATCTTGGTAACGTTCTGCACGGATTTTCCCTTGACTAAGCTTGTAGTAAGTCAACTTATTTTGTTCAGTTGCGGCCCAAGCATCAACCAAAAACTCTTGGAACAATTTTCCAGCTCTCAAAATTGTTGAATACTCTGTGGGTCGTTCAAACAAACAATAACTATAAAAATCCATTTGAGTAAGCCGATCAGTTGAAGGCTGATCACGTTCAACATCCCACAATTTCATCTCAGGTTCCCATCCAAGCTCACCATGTGAAAATAATAAAACATAATGTAATGGCAAATATGCTGGGTGACATTCATTGATTTGCATTAGCTCATTATTTCCATGTAGATGTAAGATAACATCTCTCATTCCACTAACCTTGGTTCCATCACCTGGTATTACAACTGCAATCTCATCTACAGTTGGTAGGTTATACCGTTGTCGATCTGTCGATGAACTGTAGTGGAGATGAGCAGGCAAATTTCGTCCTGTCAAGGCTAATTGATTCAAAATTGCATGAGCCTGGCGAAATTTAGCAACGAATGCATTAACCTGTAATAAACTATCTTGAATAGTTTTTGGAACATCTCTTCTTAATTGAGGATTTCTACGATTGCGAACTTCTAAAGCTGAATCAGGGTCATAAATATACAATTGCGCATAAGCTGCATCTTGTTCTGATTATGGTAGTAGTGATCCTATTCGATGTCGCAATTCCCCATGGATAGTGAATGATGTAGGGCCTCTTCCAGTAAGTACTCTTGGATCTAATGTAGCACCAAGACTTGTAAAAGCATTGGTTGCATTGTACACTCGAGTATAACATCGAAACGATTTTGATTTATCATCATTCCCATCATATAATGCTTGAAGAAGTGAAGGGGGTGTAATAAGCAGAGGAAGCTTAACCTTCCCTTTTGAACAACATGTTCCGAATAGAGGACGATTTAGAGATGATTTTACTAATTTTTCATCCATCCAATGTAATGCTGAACAGAAAGGACATAATACATCCATCTTGCCAAGAGAATGACGACATGAATTTATATGTGCTCGAGTACCAACCATTGGACCCATAGGCATATCCTCTAATTCCTCATTAGTACATAGATCCTCTTGAAGGGAAGGAGTTGTAAGAGTAGGCCTACAAATATTGGTTCTGTGTAAATTAAAATAGAATGGTAATAGTAGGAGTATGTATTTGAAGAATTAAACACAGTCTTTTACCAATTCCTTTGTGGAGCTAAAGATGTGCTTGGCATTGAGAACGAACATGTGGAAGGATGTGCAACCATTGTTCGTTTTTGCACCGACTGAGTATCCTCAGTTGCCTTTGTTCCTGGTTCCAAGCAAGCACGACTACGATGACACGGTATTAAAGAAGTTTGTCTCGGTTGAATACATTCTCTTGATTTTTCCCATTCTTGCCGTGCACGTTGGGCCAATGTAGCTTTTGATATAGCATTGTTATTGTGTGCCTAAAATGTGAACATTATATCATTGATACCTAAGATACAAATATTACCATATACTATTTTATTTCTTTTTCTTCTTGCCTTGTGATAATTTTAAGAATATTTTTACATTTTCTTTGTCCTACTTCCTTTTCCATTTTGCTTCATTTTCCCTCTTCATGCCTTGTGATATAACAATTTATTTTTTAATTATTGTTTTCTCTTTCTTCTTGCCTCATGATGATTTTAAGAAAATTAAAAATATTTTCTATGCCTATGTTCCTCTGTTCCTTTGCTTAGATGTTATAAAGTTTTTCTTGGAGTTTATAAAGGTTACAATTATTTTTTAGGAAATGTTAAAGAGAGCTAAAAATACATTGTTTTAGTGTACAGAAAACAAAGAGCACACAAAAAAAATTGACAACACAGTTTACATTTTTAAAAATATACATGATCAATGTTCACTTAAACAATATGATTGGCTTTGTTTTACTCAATAAATATTTTTTTTAAAGATGTTGAATATATACCATTGGACATGCATTTTCCTTTCCTTTGGCAAAAGAAGTTGCCTTTTCTTTTCCTTTAGACATTGCCTTGGCCTTTTCCTTTTCCTTTGCCTACCAAAAGAACATGTATTTATAGAATTTATTAAGATTACGAAAAAAGAATATGTTGAACTTGATATTTATACTTACCTTAGAATTACGGATAATATTAAGATTGCACTCATCACGAATAACGACACCGATATTCCTAGTCTCATGGAGGAATGGGCTTGCATGAGTAGGCCTACAAATATTTGTTGTGTACAAAATAAAATTTATAAAATAAAATCTTAACAATAAGAATATGTATTTGTAGAATTAAATACAATGTTTTACCAATTCCTTTGTGAAGCTAAAGATGTGCTTGGCGAAGTAAGATGCGTAAACATTACTCCTTTCTGAGCCGGTGGAGTATTAGTTGTGCTTGGTGGAATCAATTCTCTCGATCTCTCTCGTTCACGTCGCGAACGTTGTCCCAATTGATATGAAGAGCTTGCCTTATCATTTCTTTCGCGTTCTCACCGTACACGTTGAGCCAATGCAGCTTTCAATATAACATTATTGTTATGTGCCTAAAACATGAAGATTAATTTCATAAGATGCCTAAAATATGAATATTATTATCTACTATTTTATACTTTTCTCTTCATTTTTCATTTCTATTAATTTACTTTATCTTAATTCCCTTTCCTTATGATATTTTGTAAAAAAATTGAAAACTTTTTCATTTTGTATCCCTCCTCCCCTCATTCCTTTTTTGTTCTATTCTTTTTTTCTTATCTTGTAGATGTTAATGTCAATAGCAAAAAGCCAAAAAAGAATAATAATAATTTAAAACAAATATAATGTTTTTGTACAAATGCTATTTTAGCATGCTTCAAAAAAAACATTTCAGAAATTTATATGAAACTGTTTACTATATGAACAGCATATGTCACTGTGCAAGTAGTATGTCAATTTTACTTTTTTTTTTTAAAAAAAAAATCAAGGTTCATGGTCCAAAATAAATATTTCAAAAAAAGAACTTTAAATGGAAATGTTGAAGAGCCATACTACTGAACATGCATTTTCCTTTCCCTTGCCCGAAACGGTGGTCTTTTCATTTTTCTTCAACAATGCCTTGGCAATTTCCTTTTCTTTTGCCTACAAAAAATAAAGAAAATTTTTAAAGAATAAAGAAAATATATGTAGAAAGTTTTTAAAAAATATATAAATAAGAATACACGGTGCATACGGTGTTTTGAATAAAAAAAATCTATATAATTAAATTGGGACTACCTCCTGAACACGGATGACATTAAGGTCACGCTCATCACGGATAACAACATTAACATTTCTTTCTTGAAGAAATTGGACCTAAAAATACAAAAGAATTAGAGGTAAAAAAAAATAAAAAAATTATACATGTAAGAAAATGAGTAAAAGGAGCCAGTATTACAGTGCGACGTAGGTCTCCATCCATCTGTAAATTATAAAAAAGGAGCATTTTGTTATAAGGAATTAGATAAAAAATTATGAAAAGAAAAGAAAATTGACTTTTGCTTAAAAGAAAAATGTTTTTTTTTCCCAATAAATAAAAAAGAAAACAACTTACGTGACCAAAAATAGTAATGTTGTCCATAATTAGCGGTTGAAGGTCAATGGCGTCTCAACCTGAAAGTGCCTGGTTATGTAACTTTGACAAAGATAACTATATGAAGGCAAAATGAGGTTTAATAATTGCCATAAAGAAAAATTAATCGCTACAAAATTAACAACCTCCAAACATATTTTAGTTAACAACCTAGTTTAAGAAGTTCGTTTGTGCATGAATATCACAGATGGAGAAATTGACCCTACTACAGGATAGAAGAAAAATTATAATTTTTTTATGTCTTCAATATACATAAAAAAGGATAGAAGAAAAATTAAATACTCTCATAGAAATCTTCATAAATGTAGAACTATTGCAATACATGATTTTGTGGTTGATTCTATATAGTAACTTTGCACTGACAAAGGTTAATTCTTATGGATTGTATTGCCCATTTTATATAGTAACCCCCATTTGATAGAGCGAGAGAAGTGGGTGTTGAAACCCAATTGAATATTAAAGAAAAAAACACAATACAAAATTTTAACATTTGTTGAAACCCAATCTATTTTGTTTAACATTTGATAAAAATTTTAAAATGTTTAACATTTTTGTTTTTGCTATTAAAGATTATAAGAATTTCTATCACCAAAAACAGGGTGCAAAATAAAACAGGGTGCAAACAACTCTATAAATAAAATAGGGTGCAAACAGGGTGCAAACCCCTCTTGTTGGCACCTGATCTTTTTGCTATAAATAAAACAGGGTGCAAACAGGGTCCCACTTGGCGAATCAAACTTATAAAATTTAGCTTGTTTGATCAATTTTTTTTTTCTTTTTTGGGTTTGTTTTTGTGGTATTGTTTGATCAAGTTGAGAACACCCCAAAGATCCAAAAATAAAGCCACAATCACCAACCCCATCTATAGAATAGAGCCCCTCAAGATTTCTTAAAAATTAATAACAAAGTCAGAAACTCCAAAATTAATAAGAAAGTCAGAAACTACAAAGTCAGAAAAATTAATAAACTCCAAACAATCTCCATCCCTCAATCACAAACAAAGCTTGACCTTGATAAAATCCAACACCTTTACCCACTCTACACATGCTCCGTTAAAAATACATTCATTTCGAAACTTCCAAAGAGACTAAAAAATAGCAATCAAAATTGAAAACCCATATCCAACCCACTTGATAATGATATTGTTTGTTTTTGTGATATTGTGATATTGCTTAGCTTTATTTTTAGCTTTATTTTTGTGATATTGTTTTTGTGATATTGTTTTAATCAAACTTATACAAAACACAAATCATAATCGAAATTGTTAAACTTATAGAATTGTTAAATACTTTTGTGGCCAACACGCTATTGATCTTGTGATATTGTTTTTGTGATATTGTTTTAATCAAACTTATACAAAACACAAATCATAATCTAAATTGTTAAACTTATAGAATTGTTAAATACTTTTGTGGCCAACATGCTATTGATCAAACTTATAGAATTGTTAAATTTTTTTGTCTCATAATCTTAGTACAAAACACAAATCAAAGAGATTAAACAATCTTAAAAAAACCTAATCCAATCTAATTCAGTACCCAATACACACCTACTATTGTTCATGACAGAATAAAATCTAACCCAATCTAATTCAGTACATAGACACATTTTAATGAAATCAATGAAGGGTTCAATAAAAGAAAGAGATTCGTAACCTATTATCTAGTACAGGATAGAAGAAAAATTATAATTTTTTTATGTCTTCAATATACATTAAAAATGATAGAAGAAAAATTAAATACTCTCATAGAAATCTTCATCATTTTTCTCTATTGGCCAAAATGTAGAACTATTGCAATACATGATTTTGTGGTTGATTCTAGTAATTTTGCATTGACAACAGTTAATTCTTATTTGCAAAACTAAACCTCAACCCTCAAAATGTTTACGAATCTATTTTCATGTTTGATGAGTAAGAATATGACCATTGATGATTAATGAGAACCTCAACCCCATTGATTATTAAAGAGAATCTCAATTCAATTAATGTTAACATTAACTCAGAGTTTTTTTGAAACCTCAACCCATTAAGCTGAAATAAAAATGATTGTTAACATGAAACCTATTTTCCATTAACCCTCATTTGAAACGTGGAACCCATTTTTCCATATTGAGCAACAGTAATGAAAAATGCAGATAAGAAGAAAACAATTTAGCATCAAAGACACAATCTAAAAGGTTCTCCAAGAGTTTGCTCTAAACCAGTTGGGAATACCTAGCATAACAAATAACTTTTTGAGCCTATGTGAACTTTTTGAACTGAAAAAGCAAATAAGTTTGAAAACTGGAAAGTTTTACCAAATACCTAACTTTTCAAAGTACAACTACCTAAGCATAAAATTCCAAATTTTAAGCTAAATAAGTTACAAAATAAAAATAAAAAATGTTGCCAAATTACGTGCAAAGGAATGTGACAATATTTGATAGAAAATATTTTGCAAAGAGACATCTAATGGGAGTTGTCTACTTTCCAAAGAGATTAGTTTAGTGATGGTTTACTTTCCTCTAATTTTGCAATAATACTGAGTAGTCTTCCAACGTTTTAATTTAGACAGTAGCAAACTATAAATACAAAAGCTAACCAGCAATAATGATCAGCAACTTTAAATAGAAAAATTGTAGTTGCAAAGTAGGATCTTACAGGATGAAAGTTCAATGAGTTGACTGAATATATCTCATTGCCCTCTCTATGACATTTGAAAGTAAAGTTTCTACTTTGTTGCGAATCATCAAGATTGTGCACGCCTACCCTTCCCTCAATTGAGCCAACCTGAAGAGAAACAATACCAAATTCAACAGTCTTAGAATAACGATCCACAGTAGCTATAATATAACTGAAATAGTTACAAATTTACAATGAAAAAATTATCAAGTTATTTTAATGCACATAACAACACAAATTTAGGATGAGAAAACATGTTTAATCCGAAGATTGGAAAGCCAAAGATAGAGCAACATATATAATGAACACGAAAACCTCAAGCAAACCTATGAAAATGATTCCTAGAGGAGAGCTATACCAATGTATCAGAAGAAGACATAACACAGGCTACAAAAATGAATTCATTTGATTTTTGAATAATCCAAGATGCATTGAGTCCAGTGCTGGTGCCAAGAAAAAAGAAAAGAAAAATAAATAAATCATGTATTTTCTAAAGGTATCACCTCTTTCATGTCTAGAGAGTATTACTATCTCTCATGAGATAACATCATGTAAAATGCTGAGCAACAACAATGAAAAATGCAGACAAGAAGAAAACAATTTAGCATCAAAGACACAATCTAAAAGGTTCTCCAAGAGTTTGCTCTAGACCAGTTGGGAATACCTGGCATAACAAAAAGAAAAGTAGGGTTAAAACTAAATAATTACAAACTAACAAATCCAGAAGACAAATACATAATATTGCAAAAAACCTTCTGCACTAATCAAAAAATTTCTAACGGATCCTACCATGAAAGTCTGAGCAGTCCAGGTATAAATTTTTTATATTTATAGTTTTGGACCTTAAACAACCTCCAACAATCTACGTGACAACAGATAAAAACCAATCAAATATAACCAAGAAGCATTTTCATCTGCCCAATTTCTAGATATCATTAAAAATGTTATTATCCAAGACCAAGACAGATTCAAATTTTTACTTGAATGCCCAAAAAGTGGCATGTAGAATTTAAAAATGTTATTAAATTCCACAATAGTCACAAAATGTATCAAATGCATTCTGAAATAACTCTCTGATGGGTTGGCTTTCTTCAGGAAGATTCATGAGCTTAGTTAGTTTGGTAAACTAAAATAAGCTCATGCCCTCTAACCTATTACCTACAGATTAAAGATCTCAATTATTGGGAAAGAGAGGCAGAGTAAGTGAAGAAACACAAACAAATCTAAAACAAACAAATGTTTTGCTTCAGATTTTTTGCTTCAGAATTTTTGCTTCAGAGATAAATTTTGCTTCAGAATTTTTGCTTGAAGAAACAAATGTTTTTGTCAATGAAATCAATGAAGGTGTTTATGGGTCATTCATTAAACGGAAGAAACAAATTTTGCTTCAGAATCTTGACCCATAAACAAACGGAAGAAACAAATGTTTATGGGTCATTCATTAATCCAGGATGGTGGAGAAGAGACCTTTGAAACAAATCAAACCATTGAATTTATGGGTCATTCATTAAACGGATGTTTATGGGTCATTCATTAAACGGAAGAAACAAATTTTGCTTCAGAATCTTGACCCATAAACAAATGTTTTCCTTCAGAATGTTTGCTTAAAGAAACAAATGTTTTTGAAAAAACAAATCAAACCCTCCAGATGTTTTTGCTTGAAGAAACAAAGCAAAAACAAATGTTTTTGCTTGAAGAAACAAATGTTTTTGAAAAAAACAAATGCTTCAGAATTTTTATTGAAAAAACAAATACATTTTTGCTTCAAAAACAAACCCTCCGAATGTTTGAAGAGACACATTTTTGCTTCAGGAAAAAACAAACGGAAGATGGGGACCTTTCGATTGAGCTTTGTTCTTCCTTCTTTAGAGCTTTCTCTTCCTTCTTCAAAGCTTTCTCAGATGATACATATGATACATATGATGTAAAGAAATGATGTAAAGACTGCCTTACCTGGTAAGTGCAGTGGGTTGGTGAGAGTAGTTGGTAAACAAATCTCAGCCATTGAATTTTAGTCATTGATAAATCTAGACCATTGAAACTCTTTTCAATCTCAGCCATTGTTTTTAAATTGGACAAATCTAAACCATTAAAGATAGTTTGTGAGAGATATATTTGTAAGAATAAATCTGAGCCATTGCTTTTTAAATTAGAAAGATCTAAACCATTCATTTCAAAGACATTTTCAAACTCACCCTTCCATTGTTATATAGATTTTACTTTTGTTATTATTGAACATCATTCAAAATTTTGGTTTTTGAACTTATCAAAACAGAGGTACTTGAGTAGATTAAAGTCATATGCGCGAAATAGAAGTCGACCAGAGGGTAGTATGACAAAAGGATACCTTGCAAATGAATGCTTGACATTTTGCTCGAGGTATATGGAAGGTGTTGAGACACGGTTCAACCGGATGTCTCAAAATTATGATGAGGGGGGGAATGGTATAGAAGGATTATCTATTTTCTTAATGCCTGGCCGACCATTAGGTTAAGGGCATGATAGACACAGTAGATGATGGCACAAAAGAAAAGACACATCGATATGTGCTATTTAATTGTGAGACAGTCAACAAATTTATCAAGTAAGCCACTCCACATCTTTAATCAATTTATTATTATTATTTTTTGACATACTTTTCCACAAACTCACAAATCTTTTATATGGCATACAGACAACACTGTAATTTGACTTGATATTAACTTCAATTTCATTCCACACTTACAGAAGTTATGTCATCAATTGTCTGAAACAGGTTGAGGAATTGCATAATGCAGGGAATAATCAAATAACCGAAGAGCTTAGATGTATGGCTCATGGTCCAAATAGAATTTTCATAAAATATAAGCTATACTTGATAAATGGTTTTAGGTTCCATACTAAGGAGATCGAGCAAAAGAGAAAAAATCAAAATAGTGGGATTATTGTCATAGCAAAAATACGAAGCTTTGCAACTGGTAGAGATGAAAATCCTGTCTCTGGAGATGTTACATTTTATGGTGTGTTAACAGATATAATTAAGTTAGATTTTTTATTTAGGAAGAGGGTTGTATTATTTAAAGGTAAATGGGTGTCACAAGTAGGGAAAAGACAAGATAAAGATTGCACACTAGTCAACTTTGCACGAGTAATGAAAAATGATGAGCCTTTTGTGTTGGCTTCTCAAGAAAAATAGGTAATGTATGTAGAAGACCTTAAACACAAAGATTGGCAAGTTGTTATCTATAGCTTGTTTTTTGTGCTCCTTTCGGATACGATAGCCCTACAGTTCAGACTCCCGTAATTCTAATCTGATTTCACAAGTGCAATGTGAAATAGATAAACACAAATGAGTCCAAATCTAGCAAATCTTTTGAAAAATCGATTTTGAATAAAAAAATGTCAAAAATGGACTGCTTTGCCAGATTACAGAGTTACCACCTAAATATTTTTGAGAAATTTACGAAACCCGTGACTCGTGCCAAAGGCCATGTGTCCGTTATCACCAAAGTGTCTCGACTCAGGCACTTAGGTACGAGAGGGGAACGTCATGAATTGAGCACCCCTGCTCACCCGATCAAAGCTCGGACTCTACTAATTATGATGTGATTCTTATTTACATTATATGCTCTTGTTCCGATTATTAGGCTAGCATTACTATGTAACGCACACAAGTATAGACTAATTTGCAAAGGTTGGAATACTTTGATTTCATGTTTGTTTGAAAATTGTTTGAATACGTACCACTTGAAAAAGTGGGCTCGTATGTACATTACTCAAATTACTCCAATTTAAGCAATTAGCCTTCATCCACAAGCATTCGAACAAGTATATCACTTAAGCATTTAGCCTCATGGTAATCATGCTTGACGTGGCAACAATCACACGCATGCGATATACTAAAGCACTAAGTGCTCACTTAGTACTCCAAGGCGAGCCAAAAGAAAAGAATTAGAAAAATGCATGCTCCTAATGAATGCCACTTGACTAAAGCAACACATGCAATATGCGATTTAACTAGACTTGGCTACTAACATGGCATGTGAATTAATTTTATAGTATGCAATTTAAGTACTTTTTCAAAAAAGTAATAAATACAATGTTGTTAGAATGATACGCCGAGCCTCATGCGTGCGAGACAAATGAATACTTTATACAGGGGTTATGCTAAACAAAATATGATGCTCTAAACTATCCATCATAAGCGGGTAAATAAAAGGAAGAAAGATGTGAGGTTGGAAGACATACACATTATCACAATTGGCCCTCGCACAAGAGGATCCGAATAAATGTCCTAGCTAATTACTTTGAATTAACTAACTATTACAATCCAAATGAAATAAATTAACTACACTAGCTAATTAGTACAAATTGGCCATCGCATAAGAGGGTCCGAATAAATGAATTAGCTGAGCTACTTAACTAATTATGATAACACCTCATTTAACTAACTATTCTATCTAATTAACTAATTACAACACACTCTAACTAATTAATACAAATTAACTAATTAAACTAACTAATTAGTTACATTACGGAATTAATTAACTAAATAATTAATTACAAGTTCACTACTTTAGGTACAACATGCTACTATTAACCAAAACAAATTTAACGGGTCCCGAGGAGTAAGGAAATGGCTTATGCATGCACATGGGTTTCTCCTCCCCCCCTCCTCCCCCGCCTCTGCCTGAAAATGCCTCTATTTTGTTTTGCATCTCAGCCTCCGCTCTACTCTGTGAATAAAGTGGCATTACTTGGCTGAAAAAGGTGGCCGGCAGGCCACTAAAAGGAGGTTGGATCAATTTTGCAGCTCCTTTTGCCTTTGAGAAACCTTCCTTGCTGCTGGAAATGAGGTGGTGGTGGTAGAGCTTGGTGGTATAGAAGGAATGGTGCTTAGGGACTTAGAGATTTTTAAAGAAATGAGAGCTATGGAGATGGAGTTTGTATGGAGACTTGAAGAACAATTTTTCTAACCCTTGTAAATGAAGCCACCAGCTGGTTATAAGGGTTCAAAAGGGGGTGTAAAGGTGGGGGAAAAGGAGACAAACTTTCCCCCACGAAATATCCCCCGGATAAAGATCTTTTCTGGGGGATATTGCCCCACAGCTGTAAAGTGCACAGTGCAAGGAACACGGCCGGCCAGGTACTTTTGCTCCAGGTGGCCGGCCAGCCACACCCCCTAGCCGCCGGCTAGGGGTCAAAAGGGTCAATAAGATTTTCTGGCCGCCACCAATTGATGGTGTTCTCCTATGTGTGTACAACACAACCATGTGGTTAAAAGTCCAAGAAAGTGGGTCCAAGGGGTTCAACATTAGCTCGGAAAGAGGGGGTCAAAAGGGTCAAGTAGAATTACTGGCTGGCAAATGCAAAATTTCATATATCCCAAGAGAAGCCAACAAATGCGCTGATTCTCTTACCAACATAGGAGTCAGCCAAACTGAGCATTTTTGTTTTTTTAGATGAGCCACCCAGTGCTCTACTTTCTGTACTAGTTGCAAACATGGTGGTTGCTAGCTTTAGGAGGGATTAAGTTCGCTTTGCTCTTATGTTTGTATTAAACTCTCTATTTTAAACTTTTCATTGAATCAAAAAAGAAAAAAGAAAACATAGATCTTTTTGCCAACTGTGCCAGTTGTCTCCATAGATGCATGCACTGCACCAGCTATGTCTGTATGGATATTTCTGAGATAGTCTCATATATTTCTATATATAGATGACTCTCTCTCATAATTTAGGGTTAGAAAAATTTGTGGAGCAAAGTTTTGGAAAATATTTCTCTCCCTACACTTCTCTCTCTCCTTTGCAACTTCTATACCTTTGCCTAGACACTCTAAACCAAACCTCGAGGGTTCTTTGCTAAGGTGTTTTAGCTTGAATTTTTAGCTCTTGAGGGTGTGAAATTGGTGGTTTGTAATTCAAAGGATCACTCCTCTTGAAGAGGTATGCATCCTACCTTCTTTTCCTATTTATTTCCATCATTCATTGCTGTTTTTGAATTGCTTTTCAACTATTTTTATGGGCTGAAACTTGTGGTGTAAAGCCATAAAGGGTAGAGGAGTGGACCTCCCCTCTTTGTCCTTGTCTTCTAATGCTTTTTTCCCTTGTGTTTCCCACATTTTCATTATCTTTTTTTTTTTTTTTTTAGCTTTTTACACTGATTTTTAGTGGCTAAAATGTGGTTTTGAAGTTCCAAAAATGGAGGGGTTAGCCTCCCTCCTTTGGCTTGTTTACTAGCTTAGTTGCTCCATTATTTTAGCTTGCTTTTGTAGATATTTTTACTTAATTTCAGTGTTGTTTTATTCCTATTTTAGGATTGTTTTAAGTTGTTCCTGTCGTTTGTGCTTTGTATTGCATGCTTGTAGTGTAACGGTCCTCATAGGTTTGGTGTTTTAGGCATTAAACACTAACTCATTTGAGTTGATAGCATTTATTTCAAGCTTTACATACTTGTGTTCATCTCTAATCATCTCTGTACTTCTTTCATTTCTTGGTTTCTTCCTTGTTTTGGAGTCGTTTCAAATTGATTGTTTGTTTAAGCTTGAGATAGAGACCGTTGCACTTAATGGTTTAATCTCTTCGGAGGTTTATTACCAACAGCATGACATCTCTCTCATGCCCAAAATAACCCTTTGTTTGACACTTCTTTCCATTAGTGACTTAATGTTC